ATGGGTGTTTGAAGCTAAATGGAGGGAGCTTTGGCAGTAATCCATATATGTGTAGGTTATTGCTGAAGGGATGGGAGAGAATAAGAGAATAAGCGACTGTTTACAAGAAGAGCAGAATGAAGAGAAGAGAGAAAGCCAGATGTTAAAAGGAAGTATGGAAGGAAGGCCTGGGAGTAGAATGAAGTGAGGGATGCACTTGCCTTAAGTGCCAAATGTAGAAGGGCACCAAAACAAGTGACACAAAAACAAATCACATTTTGATAAATTCCTAAAAAAAAGTAAAATTAATGCAAAAATACACGATTAACAAAATATTAAAAGAAAAATCTCTAAAGAAAATGGGAAATAAGCAGAGAGGAAGAAGAGTTAGAGTATTTTATCACATAAACCAAGGGAATGAAGAGTTTCTGGAAGGGCCCAGGCTTGGTGGCACAGTCAGTGATGTGCTGAACTGCAGTGCTGGAAGCCATATGGCCAGCTGCAGGTCTGGATCCCAGAGTCAACAGAAGCATGCCAAGTGTACATACAAATCCTGTTGAGCTGGAGGGTTGTGGGAAGGGGATCACACATGTCAAGACTTGGTTGAAGGTGCCTGTCTCTTTTTCTCATATGCACACATATATGCTCTCCCTCATGAACAAAAAATAATTTTTTTTAGAAAGGAGGCAATACTGAGTAGTGTCAGATGTTCAGCTGAGGTCATACAAGAAAACATACATTGCTTTTGAAATCTTTTCAAAGAGCAGTTTTACAAAATGTGAGCAACTATCCCGCCTTCACTGTCATCATTTCAGAGCTGCTTCTCTGGCCTCAGTAATGTGGCCCTTCCCATTTTCAGAATTTTTTTTTTATACATTTTTTTCTTTATTTACATTCATTCACTGTACATCATTATAGCATACAAAATGAGATTTTTCCATTGAGAATACACTGTATATTGGCTCAATCAAGCACATCAACATATGTGTTATTGTCAACAAATCATTTTCCATTTCTTGTTTTCTGTATATTTTGCCTTTTTTCCCATCCTTGATTCCCTATCTCACCCTCTGCCATCTCCCACCCTCCTCCCACACTGTGTCTGGTATCTATTGTTGCTTTCTATGCCTCCCCCATTTTATTGTTTCACTAAATATCTTAATAAATCTAAATATTTTCAATAGCAAGCACAGCTGATATGTACATATCCATGAACACAAGACTGACTTTAGGCATAAACCTCAGTGAATAGAATGAACATACTGTAAAGTAGCACCTAACTAGGGCTATATAGCTTAACTGCAGTCATCAAATAGGTATTTCTAATGCCTTTTTTTTTCTCCCACACAGCAATCCCTTCTCCTCCATTCTCCTCTCAAGATTTTGGGCATGCACACACACGCGCCCAGCGTGAGTTTAAGCTGCCGGGTCCAGGATTCAAACCATGGTCGACTACATGGGAGTCCAGCTACATAGCCATTACGTCAACTGCTGGTGCCATGACTGAGTTAATTTTGGACCTTTTAACTTCTGTTCTTATTTGTGACCTTAAGACATTCAGCACTTGGTAAAGTTCCTGACAACTAGAAGGTAATAAATTAATGTTGGTATTTTGTAGCACTGGTACAGAGATGATCCCTTCACTGGACTGCTCATATTCTGGTCTCCTTTGAAGACCCCCAGCCCCGGCACTTCCCCCTTCCTGAGAATACTCTGATACCAATAAATTGTTCAGTATCTTAAAGCTGGGAGACTCTGAGTTTTTCTTGCTTGCAGTCTAGGACCAGGTCACATGTGGCTAATATTTTATGAAGGTGTGGTTTCAAGCTGGGTTGTAGGTTTAGTTACTGAAGGTTCTGACTCCGTCTGAATGAAGCTTCTGAGAAATACTGATCTGGTTCTGAGTTCTTCCTGAAGCCCAGGATAGGGTGGGGTTGGGAGAGGATATTGGGGAAATTTTACTTGGATGAAGCTTTGGTTGGATACAGTGTGAAGACTGCAGTGACTGAAGTCTCTGAGGGAAGAGTTTGTCTGGATCAAGATTTCAGACAAGGGACCAGCAGGTGGCATGGTGGTTAAGGTGCTGGACTCTTACATGGCTGACCACAGTTTGAGTCCCAGACCAGAGGCTTGAAAATCACACTGGGTTCCTGTGAGGCAGCCAGGAGGAGAACGGAGGAGATGGGATCGTGGCATGGCATCCCCCGCTCTGGGTGTGGTGGAGTGTTGATTTCTCACTTTCCCTCTCATTGTCTGTCTCTCTCTGGTGAGGCAAAAACCTAAATAAATTTTACAAAAATTTACGCTAATCTGGAACCCACCGCCATCTTTGTACCTGAGCTTCCTTTTCATGACTAGATCGTAATCATAGTGATTTCCCCTGGAATATGTGTTCAAGGGGAATCTGAGACTAAAAAAATGAAGCAGGTAATTCTATAAAGGATTTAACAAAAGTTTAATATCAGAGGGTAACTTACGAAACGGGAGAAGGAGCGGCAGAGATTGATCCTTGCACACAGACAGCTGTAGCCTCCTCCCCTTCCCGCAGCCAGCTGGACTTTTAAAAAAGTACCGTGGATGGGCTGCGCAGTAGGTGCCAATGTGGGGACAAGCAAGGCCACCTGGAGGAGGCGTGACTGCTCCGGGCGTGAGGCTGGGGGAGTAAGTCACCTGACGGGAGATGTGAATGCCCTGAGTTCAAATATTACAGACTTTTCTTTCTCAAAAGCCAGTGGGGGCAGAGAGATGCAGACTGGAGGTAGGAGCCGTTATTCCCGTTAAAAGATTGGTGTGACAGCCTCAGGTAAAAAATCATAACGAGTTTAAGGTAGGCAGAAATTCCTGGCCAGGGCCAGCAAAGGTTACTCTGGGGCTGAGAAGAAACAGAAGGTCCAAAGACAGCATTCATCCTACAAATAGAGTCAGTCTGGAACATTCACACAGTACATTTTCACATGATAAACTAAGAGCCAAAGAACAAAGTAAGATCTGACCTCATTCTTCCTCATTTGTTCCTGCTATAGTCACTTCATGTAGGCGATCTTAAGGGTTTGGGAACCATGCTGATCACAGTATCTTACTTGAGCAAGAATTTTTTGTTTCATTTGTTTTGCCATAGGGCACCTGCACTCACTGGAGAGACAGAGAGAGACAGTGGGAGGGAAAGTGAGAAATCATCCCCCAGGGGATAAGGTCACGCTGCAGTCACTTCTCCATTCTCCTCCTGGGATTCTGGACAAGAATGCACATGCATCTGGTGTGGGTTTCAAACAGCCCAGTCTGGGATTCCAACAATTGTTGGCCATGTGGGATCCCAGCACCTTAACCATCACACCATCTGTTGGCCCCAGTTTGTTGTTTCTTCATGAATGGTTTCTAAATGAAAAAAAGAAAGAAAGAAAGAAAGAAAGAAAGAAAGAAAGAAAGAAAGAAAGAAAGAAAGAGAAAGAAAGAAAGAAAGGAATGAAAGGTATATGGGGGCCAGGCCCATAATGTAGTAGTTAAGCCCTGTGCATGGGAAGCTGGATCCCACATGGTCTACGACAGTTCAAATCCTATATATGGGGGCCAGGCCCATAATGTAGTAGTTAAGTCTTGTGCATGGGAAACTGGATACCACATGGTCTACCACAGTTCAAATCCTAACCCTGATGGTTTCAAAATCATGCCAGGCATGCATGAGTGTGTGCCTAAGATTCTGATTGGATGGAGAAATGGAGGAAAAAATATCATGGCAGGACCATGCCCCATTGGGAGGTACATTCTCTTTCTCAGAAGTGCAAGTGCCGGGACCAGCAGTTAGCGTAATGGCTCCCGTATGGTTGACTACATGGGAGTCAACCCATGTAGCGTAATGATGTAATGACTACATGGGTTGATTCCCATGTAGCCAACCATGGTTCAAGTCCCAGACCCAGCATCTTAAACTCACACCAGGCGCGTGTGTGTGTGTGCCCAAGATCCCAAGAGGAGAATGGAGGAGAGGGGATTGTGGCATGGCTATACCCCTGGGAGGGTGATTTCTCGCTTTCTGTCTCTCTGTCTCAGTCTTTCTGGCGAGCGCACATGCCCTATAGCAAAAACCTCTCCAAAAAAAGAAAAAAAAAAAAAGAAGTGCAAGTGCCCTCTGGCAACAACATCATCAGTAACAACAGCAACAGAGAGAGAGAGACAGAAAGAGAGAAAGAGAAAAAGAACATAAAAGGGTAAAAATGCAGATAAATATAGGCACTTATATTTTTTATTTTTAAAAAGGTTTATTTTTCTTTATGATAGCATGTGGCTATGTACAAGACAGAGAGAAAGACAAAAAGAGAGAGAAAGAGAAAGAAGTTTTCAACAGGGTCTTGTCGTGCTGCAGTTCCCTTTTCCCCAGCCCTCCAGCTTGTAGGATTCTGGGCATGCAAGCATAAGCCTGACATGGTGTGTTTTCAGGCCTGCTAAGGGATCTGAACCTGCAGTCGACCATGTGGCTTCCAGCACTATAGTTAGTATACTACTTTATTCTACAATTTTAAAATAAAGATAATTGTTTAAAGTAAAATTATAATAGTGCCTTTTGAGGTTTATAACATATCTAGAAGTAAAATGTTTGATAGTAATAGCACAAAGAACGGAAGAAAGAAATAGAAACATATTGTTACAAGGGTCTTATATATGTGAAGTGGTATATTATTATTATTTATTTATTTGTTTAAAAAGAGTTTTCTTTCTTAAAAAGAGAGATTCTTGTTATAGGGCACGTGCTCTCACCAGAGAGACAGAGACAGACAGAGAGACAGCAAGTGAGAAATCAACCCCCCCCCCCAGGAGGTAGGGCCACACTGCAATCCCCTCTCTCCTCCATTCTCCTCTCAGGATTTTGGGCACACATGCACACACACCCAACATGAGTTTTAGACTACCCGGTCCAGGACTTGAACTACGGTAGACTAAGTGGGAGTTCAGTGAGGTAACATTACACCATCTGCTGGTCCCAAAGTGGTACATTATTGTTTGAAGGTAGAATGTATTAAATTCAGGATGGGCTGGAAAGGTCATGGCAATGCCTCTGGAGATCAACAACGCCCAGCTGCTGCTTCAAGGTGGGTGAAGCCGTGGCAGTCCTACAGGCTCATCATACCAAGAAGGAAGCTGCCCAGAAGGTGAGCGCCATTGCTGCTGCTACCTCTTAGACAAGGAAACCCTGATTTAAAAGCCAAATGTCCCCCTCAGGGAATCCAGCTCAAGGTTTGAAGACTTCTAAGCATGATCTATGGACTTTGACACTAAGAACCACAAATTACAAATTTAATAGGTCATTTTGTATCAAAAGGTCCATTATGCAGTAATCAGAATTTTCAAATTATACAAATATATTCCCTGGGCTCTGCTATGGCCCAGACAGTAATAACTTTCTTTTCCTGTTGTGGGTTTTGATTCCCTAAGAAATTAATTTTATTTGATGCACCCAAGTCTTAAGTCTCTCAATCAAGAAAAAAAAGTTATAAAAAATTAAAAATGAATATTTAAACACTATAGAAACTCTTGAAAATTAAGCATAACTAATAAGCCCCGCAGCCGACTACATGGGAGTCCAGTGACATAGCCATTACGCCAGCTGTTGGTCCCCAGTTCCCTCCATATTTGCCCACTCTTTAGCCTTCCTTCTCTTCATGCAGCAGACCACGTGTCAACATACGCAGAGTTTGTCCAAACACACAGACCTTCTGCAGAAAACATGTTTGAATTTGATGAGGACGAGCAGTTCTATGTGGACCTGGATAAGAAGGAGAATGGCCTCTCCCAGAGTTCATTCATGCCTTTGACTATGATGCTCAGAGAGGCATTGCTGACATTGTCGTGGCGAGGAGGAACTTGATCTCTATGATCCAACGGTCCGGACACACCCGGGCCATACATGGTACTGCCCACCCTTGCCTGTTCCTTTACAGCCCACCTAGAAGGATGGAGGGGCCCCTCTGCCCCAGAGAATGTGAGAGCCAGAGGCCCGCTCATGGCCAGTCCTTCCCTGGAGTGGATGATATTTGGTCCACAAAGCTGGGGGGTAGGGCATCAGAGAAGG